TCATCCAATTTAAAATCCATCCTGTTTGCAGATGACAGTACTATTTACTTAACAGACAAGAATATCGACAGTCTCATCTTTAATATGAATAAAGAACTAATATGAGCAACTGGCTAAATGCCAATAAACACTCTTAACTCCGACAAAACACAATACATTATCTTCCATAGACATAAACTATTCACATACCCAATCAATAAAATCGAGATTAATGGAAAAAGTATCCGAGAAGCAAATCAAACAAAATTTCTTGGAGTGATTATTAACAAACATCTTTATTGCCACTACCATATTCAAATCATACATAGTGAAATAGCAAAGCTATGTGGTTTAATAAGTCTAACTCGAAATCATGTTAATAGAGGCGCACTTATGTCACTTTATTACACCTTAGTTTATCCTAACATTACATATCGCCTTACAGTGTGGGATGGGCGAGCAAAACCTCCCTCAACCCAATCGTTTTGATTCAAAAGAGAGTTGAAAAAGTAATAAATAATTTGTGGAACTGTGGCCATACCAACAATGCTTTCAAAGAGCTGAAGTTATTAACATTTAACGATATAAACACACTAATATGTGCCGTTTATACATACAAATGCTTGAATTGCCCGGACACATTCCCCAATTATTTCCCAACATAAAAAAAAACATTCTCGAAGAGACTACTTTAGACTTCGCCAACCACTGGTCTCATCCTCCCAATCACACATAAGTTATCGTGGAGCTCTAATATATAACAAATTACCACCTAACATTAAAAGTAAGCCCTCTTTAAATTGCTTTAAATCCACTCTAAAAAAAGATTTTACTAAACAAATATTGAAAACAGTAGAATTGCTATATTATTACTGTCTTACCTTTATTTCCTGTAAACACGTGCTTTCTAATACCGGTATTATTGGTAGTACATGTACGTATATATATGTTTGTACGTATATGTATGTATGTGTATGTATGTGTTTGCATGTATGTGTATATATGTATATGTATATATGAGTGTATGTGTGTATGTATATATATATATATATATATATATATATATATATATATATAATATATATATATATATATGTATATATATATGTATATGTATATATGTATATATATATATATATATATATATATATATATATATATATATATATATATATATATATATATATATGGTGTGTGTGTGTGTGTGTGTGTGTGTGTGTGTGTGTTGTGTTTGTGTATGTATGTGCTAGTGTACTACTGAGTAGTAGTAGTACAAAAATGTTCGTATATAACCCTGTTTTTGTGTTGTATCTTAATATAACGTGTTTTTGTAAATTAGAATTAGTATCTTGCTTACATTTGTCTACTTTGCAAGAAACACAGGCAAAAATTGGAAAAGGTGAAAAGAACAAGTTGTAGATATCTTATTTTTCTACAAAATGAGCCATAATACGTTAATTGTGGGCAAAAATTGTGCCTGTGAGGATTTCCACGATACCTAAAGGTGGTGTACCGAGATATCGGCATTTTTCGTTTTCTTCATCTTCCCATGACTATTTTTACCTGAGGTTTGTCTTAACCTAATTAATATTCCATAAAATTTTGGTGGTGATCCGGATAATTTGGCAATCCTACCTCCCATTGGGGGGGGGGAAGGTTTGCATTTTCGAAATGTTTTGCTCATAGATCAAACTATGTATGATGAAAACATAAAGAAAAGAAAATACTCATGTACGGCATATCATATTTATTTATTTGTATGAAAAAATCATTATCGTTCTTTGGACGTTAGCAGATTTTAAAAAAATATTCCGAAAAAAATGAAGGTTGGTCTCATCTGACGTGAAATTTAATCTTTCAGAAAATCTCATTTTTTATTATCTGTAATCATTGCGTCACAATTGCCGATTTTCTAAGGTAACGTAAAAAAAAAAAAAAAAAAAAATCAGTCGACATCGAAAATGGCTGCTACCACCTAAAAAATAGCGGTCGGGCCTTGAAATTTTCAGGGGAGAACCGGGGCTTAGGAACTCCTTGAAAATGCATTTAACTCGATTTCGGCAAGATGGGCGAAAATCGCCGAAAAAAGACCAGACGGTCCCCTTCAGAACTAGGTTCAAATGCTGTAAATATTTAAATGTCCTAGATATAATGCTAAGGATATTGGATCGTCTACACGATGGTTCAAATATAGTGTATTGGAACGTATGGGTAAATCTGCAGGAACTCTCCTACCTCTAAGCAACCTTTTTCTGCTGCCCGCCAGCAGCAGGAGCTTCAAAATTCTGTCTGCAGCTTCTAACAGGCTCTACCTTCCCATCTCAGAATCTCTGAATATACACGAGCTGAAACCAGACCTAAACAATATTACACCTATTCACTCCTTTATGGCGCAATTCAATTGCCATAACGAGCACTACTCACAAGGTACAGCTCACTCTCATATACAGGTTTTGTATTTTTTCACATCCAGTCTGTCCGTTCCAATTTATTTCCCATTTGTACCCAGTATTGTTTATTT